GCTTCAGCAGCCTCGGCTAGGCAGAGGGGGTGGGGGGGAAGCCGACTTACCTTCCTGCTTCTTCCTCGTTCTTCAACAGAATGAGGCTGGAAGCAGAGGGCGGCCTGAAGAAGGGGGTGGGGCTTCGCCATGTGACCAACCCCCCCGGTGCATCTCTCCCGGAGCGACGTACTGGCGCGGTCCGGTCCGATCCAAGGCCTGGAGCCACCTCATTTGGAATATTGTGCACAGTTTTGGTCACCATATCTCCAAAAGGACACCGCAGAGCTGGAAAAAGTACACAGGAGGGCAACCAAGATGATTAGGGGGTTGGAGCACCTTCCCTGTGAGGAAAGGCTGAAGAGTCTGGGACTTTTCAGTTTAGAAAAGAGACGACAACTAAGGGAGGACAAGATAGAGGTTTTTAAAATTATACATGGGATGAAGAGCGTTGATCATGAGAAAATTTTCTCCCCTTTCCAAATACTAGAACACAAGGGCATCCAATGAAGCTGGTGGACAGTAGGTTCAGGAGAGACAAAAGGAAATACTATTTTACACAGAGAGTGATTAAAATGTGGAATTTGATGCCTGAGGATGTAGTGATGGCCACAGGAATAAAAAAGGATTGGATAGATTAATGGAGGATAAGTGTATCACTGGCTACTAGCCATGGTGAATGAGCCTCTGAATCCCAGAGCCATGAGGCAACATAAGGGAAAAGCCTCATCCTCTATGCTCTGTTGTTGGGTGTCTGGAGGAACTGATTGGCCACTGTGTGAGATAGGATGTTGGACTAGATAGGCCATTGGTCTGATGCAGCAAGGCTGTTCTTTTGTTCTTACCAACCCTGCTTAAGTTCTGAGATCTAAGGAGATCAGGGTATAACATGCCACCTTCCCTCCCATGATGTGATATACATAGCTCAAAACTCTTTTTATGGTTCTACCAATGCACATGAGCAGAAGTGGACAGAAGTAAAACAAAACACAGGAAAAACCTTGAGGAAATCACATCAGCAATCATATCAGGGCTGCTTCTGGGGTGTGCATGTTTTTGTTTTTTTATCGACATGCAAGTCAGTAATGCAGAGTGGAGGAAAATGAATGGAATTTGATGCCTCGCTGAAATCTGCAGATTTCCGCTGAAATCTGCAGATGATTCACTCCTGTAAGTTATTTCGGTTCAGGTGGCGTTTAGGAAGCGTGGAAGGCAGTGCAAGAGGCCAGGGCGATAAATGAACAAAATGAAGGCTCATCTCTTGTAATGCAATGGCTAGCGATATGTACAACTGAGGCTGGAGTGAGTGACCCAGAGGGGCTTTTCAGGTCAGGAGCAGTAGCAGCGTAGGACAAGTGCTGCAACCGCGCTTTCTCAAGAACCGCCCCCCTCCCTTTATTCCAGCAGGGGCTAAACCGATCGGTGCCGGCAGATTCAGATAAGCCCCTCTCTTATGCCGATGCGCGAGCTGCACTGCCAGCGCTGGCAAGGAGCGAGTTGCGGCGGGAGGGGGAGGAGAAGGTGGCGAAGAAGGGGCGATATATATATATAGTGCACTGGGAAGGCTGAGGCTGCGGTTGACAGGCACGGAGGAGTTGCTGCTTCCGCTGAGAACGTGTACATTTTTTCCCCGTTCAGCAAAGAAACTCAAATTCGTAATCGGGGAGGGGGGACAGGAAGCGAGGGGCGCGCGCAGGCATCGTTCTCCAGCATCCACCCACCTTCCTGCCCACCCGCTCCCGCTCGCAGGCAGCCTTGGAAACGGCATTTGCGCGCCTTGCCGGGGGCCGCTTCCATTCGAGGCGAGGGAAGGCGGGCAGTCGTGGCGAGCGGGCGGCCAGGCGTCGGAGGCTGCTGCCGGATCGTCCTGGGAAGGAGAGACTGAACTTTGATTGAGCGAGCGGGCGGGCGGGGAAGGGTCCGCTCGGCTCCTGGGCAGCTGCGGAGGCCGGCAGGGGTCCGCCCGACCGCCTTAATCCTCGGAGGGTCGCTGGACCGGAATCGCTCGCGACTTTCATTTCCTCGGGACGGAGGAGAGCTGAGGAGGGGAAAGGCGAGGCTCCTCTGCTGGCCGCCTGCAAGGGAAGCACCGGCCTCTCCTCCGCCCCGCCTGGGACGCCGATGCCCGGGAATTAAGCGGACCCCAAAGCCCCGAAGGGGGTCCCATGGAGGCAGGCAACCCCGCGGGAGCCGCTGTCGTCCTGCCGGCTGCTTCGCTCGCCTTCCCCGAGGCGCCGCCTTGCGCTCGCCCGCCTGGACCTGCCCGTTTCCCCGGCCCCTGAGCCTTGGGATCTCGGCCGCCCCGGCCCCGCCCCTCGCCTCCCCGGCCGCCCTCGTCTAGGCCACGTGCCGGGTCGGAGTC